GCCATGTCACATTTTTTATTTAGCAATGTCATAATTTTTTTTTAGAGTGATTATAGAGATGACATATAAACAATCTCTCACAAATTACTTCTCAATTAATATATATATAAGGGATTGGTTTAAAGGAAATACCACAAGACATTAATCATCCTTTTATAATAATTCACAATTCATTCTATCTGCTCCCTTCTTCCTATTAAAATGTCATGTGGCAAAAGTCCAAAAAAATGGTCTTTTCAATATTTACAAAAAAAAAATATGAACGAAATATTTTTTTTCTTTTAATTTTTACATTAAAGATAAATAAAAAATATCTGCCTTCTAGCTGCTTTCTCACGATCTCCGGATTCCCCCACTTCACGCTTTCTCTTCAACAATGGAGTTATATAATCTCCAACAAAAGACTTCGACATATTTTTATATTTTGATTCAATTTTCCAGAAATTCCAGGTAAAAAAGCGAACGAATTTTCTGTTTATATGCATCACCTAATCCTTTTATACCTTGCCTTTACTATTGATCTCTTTCGATTTCTTGATCTGTTTCGATTTTCGCTATCAGTTTCCTCTTTCAATTTATTGTGAATATATCCTTTAATTCTTCGCTTTTGATTTCATGTTTCAGTTGGTGATTTCATACGGACTTATTAGGGTTTACAAGGATTGTTGCAAATTGCTTTTGTCTGTAGATTCTTCGCTTTTGATTTCATGTTTCAATTGGTGATTCCAGCTTCAGTTTCTCTTTATTCTTCACTTTTGTCTGTAGATTTTTCGCTTTTGTCTATAGTTTGGGAATTATAATAAAAGGATTGTTACAAATTGTTTTTCTCTGTATTTATGATTCGTGTTTGTTTTCTTCTAAGAACTCGGTAAGGCAAATTGTGAAACATGAAATTTTTGTCACATGAGTTACGTAAAAAAAACTCTTTCTTTCTGTTTTTTTTATTCTGAGCAACTATTACTTCTGTTTTGTGTGTTTTAACTCTATTTTGATTCATTATCCACTTTCCAGGAGGCGAATTAATTCATCATGCCGCTCGATATAACTCCTGCAATTGAACCATGTAAGATCAAAGTTAGGGTTGTTCGACTGTGGGGATTTCCGAAAAAAGATAAACCAAACAAATTTACTGGAATCCATATGCTCATTCTAGATGATAAGGTTAATGTACTTTTGTTTGTTTACTTCATTCATTTATTCATACTCTTTGTAAATTTTCAAGTGAATTAATATCTTACACTATCATTTTATAACAGGGAGGTAGGATTCAAGCTTCCACCAAAAGAAATTTACTTTCCAAATTTCYGAAGCAACTAGAAGAAGGAGAGTGCTATGTCCTCATGAACTTTGAATTAGGCCCCAATCTCGGACAYTTRCGAAGTTCTGCYCATCCTTACAAYATCAATTTCATCTTTTACACATGTGTCAAGCCATGTGAACAGATACCAAATTTAGAATCACGTTTCAACTTCTGTCATTTTCCTGAAATAATAGCAAAGACTAATGTTGCAGATATATTCATTGGTATGTTTTCTTTGCCATTTTACTTGTCTTTTCATTTAAGAATATGTTATGATTCTCTGAAATTTTTTTAATTTGCAGACATTATAGGTGAGATTATTGGGATGAATGAAGTTAAGGATATCACTACCACCGTTGATGGCCCAACAAAAATACTTAATCTTCGACTTAAGGATCTCGGATAAGTTTTATTTAAACTTCTGTGAATATATGAACCATGGCTTTGAACTATGCACACGTTCACATTTTGATGTCTCAAATGTTCTTTCAGAAACTTGATACATATAACATACTCTTCGTACTTGATGTCATCTATTTTACTTGCATGCATTTCAAAATCCAATATTCATTYCGTTAAGTGATCTTCCCAGAGAAATAGACTAGAGACTAATGAATCTTATTGTAATAAGTAACCATTTTCGAAAAATATATTTATGGAAAGCTCTCTCTCTGTTTCTCTCTTTTTCAGTTTGGCGTTGATTTTTGATAAAATTATATTCTAATTTATGTACGGTTCTGTTTTTTTTTTTTGAGTTTATCATAAATTAATTTTTATTGATTTTACTTACGATAATTTATCATATA